TATCCTGCCTTTCCGATACCATTAATTATTTTCACTAAAATTGATCCAATTTCTATTGCTTTGTAATTACTTCCTGTGACCATTTCTATGTAGAACTCAAATAAATTTCTAGTCTTTTATTATTTTCTCTGACGATAGGTTGTGAGATGCTAACCATTATACTGCCTGGTAATCAATGAGAGAGAGAGAGAGAGAGAGAGAGAGAGTCTACTTTTAGCTTTAATCTCACTTTGTCCTTTAAAATTGAAATCGATTTTGAATTTTAAACAGGACAACACTACTTGGTTTGATCAATATTTATGTTCTCTCATAGACACTTTAAGAAGTTTACCATCCAAATATTTAAACTATAAAACTATAGAGCAGATAATTGGTTTTTCTGGCTCAGAGGATGTTTACTAAGTTTGTTTCGAAGAAAACGTTGAGCGATTCAATGTTTCTCTTAAAGAGTACATTTATGACGTTTATAATCTTCATATAAACAACAATAGAATAAACCGAAAAAGTTTTCTCTTGCCATTAAATACAACATGAATATAACTTTTGTTCAGTTCGAATCAACTTTTTAGCTCACCTGAGCCAAAGGCTTAAGTGAGCTTTTCTGATCACATTTTGTCCGGCGTCCGTCTGTCCGTCTGTCTGTCTGTAAACTTTTCACATTTTCGACTTCTTCTCAAGAACCGCTTGGCCAATTTCAACCAAACTTGCCACAAAGTATCCTTGGGTGAAGGGGATTCAAGTTTGTTCAAATGAAGGGCCACACCCTTATTCAAGGGGAGATAATTGGGAATTAATGAAAATTTCGTGGTATATTTTAAAAATCTTCTTCTCAAGAACCTCTGTGCCAGGAAAGATGAAACTTATGGGGAAACATCCACAGGTAGTGTAGATTCAAGTTTGTTCAAATCATGACCCCCGGGGGTAGGGCGGGGCCAAAATGGCCGACCAAAGTTTTACATAGAAATATATAGGAAAATTCTTTAAAAATCTTCTTCTCAAGAATGACAAAGCCATAATTCATCATATATATATGGAAGCATGCTCAGGTAGTGTAGATTCAAGTTTGTTCAAATCATGACCCCCGGGGGTAGAGCGGGGCCAAAATAGCCGACCAAAGTTTTACATAGAAATATATAGGAAAATTCTTTAAAAATCTTCTTCTCAAGAATGAAAAAGCCATAATTCATCAAATATATATGGAAGCATGCTCAGGTAGTGTAGATTCAAGTTTGTTCAAATCATGACCCCCGGGGGTAGGGTGGGGCCAAAATGGCCGACCAAAGTTTTAAATAGATATATATAGGAAAATTCTTTAAAAATCTTCTTCTCAAGAATGACAAAGCCATAATTCATCATATTTATATGGAAGCATGCTCAGGTAGTGTAGATTCAAGTTTGTTCATATCATGACCCCCGGGGTAGAGCGGGGCCAAAATGGCCGACCAAGGTTTTACATAGAGATATATAGGAAAATTCTTTAAAAATCTTCTTCTCAAGAATGACAAAAACATAATTCATCATATTTATATGGAAGCATGTTCAGGTAGTGTAGATTCAAGTTTGTTCAAATCATGACCCCCGGGGGTAGGGCGGGGCCAAAATGGCCGACCAAAGTTTTACATAGAAATATATAGGAAAATTCTTTAAAAATCTTCTTCTCAATCATTTTCTAAAAAATAGCAAATCCATGATTGGTCATGGGACTACTTTTGGATTTAAACTTTACAATAAAAAGCCATTTTAGACTAGTCCTACCCTTGGTGCTCAGGTGAGCGATGTGGCCCATGGGCCTCTTGTACTGTGTTCATGATCAATAATATACATGTAAATTCAAATATTCTTAATTTTACAGACAGATGGGCATGAAAAATAAGAGAAATCAAATCACTTATTTACAATTAAAGTATCTTTATTAATTGTTTATTTCAGATAATCAAGAGGCCATTTTCAACCCATGGTGCTCTAGTTACACATTGCTTGAATGGATCAGAAAAAAGTGCAATTGTGATAGTGATAGTAAGTAATGATTTGAAATAATCATCATTTGTAAGATTAGAAGAAATGTTTGCCTTTGTCACATATTTTATCTTGATAGAACCTTTCAAGGAATTCTGACACATATAGTTGGCATGTTGTAAATTTTGTATTTACTGCCACTTGGTAAATTCAAAATTCACAATATAACAATACATTAGCTGGAGATCTGTAGCTCGCTGGTGTAAAAACACAGGGATGGACGACCAGACGGTCAGTCAAAATATTTTTGGAGAGCTACAATTCTGCAGCTAATATACTAGTATACATGTAGGCTACTGATGAAACATGCTTGTTTCACTATTCACTTCCGTGCCCTCGCCTGTTATAAGGTACAGCCACTGACGTGTTATGTCCATGTTGACTTCACCCGTATGGTTCTTGTCTTGATCTTATAAACAAATAAACAATACCGTACCTACAAGTAACTCCTCGTCGTAAAAGTAAAAAGATTTTGGGATTTTAAAGAAGATCATTAGGGCGTCAATGTATAATAAATAGCAATTTATAATTTACCAGGCCAGTTTTGTAACCGAAGAAATGACCATTAAATTTGGAGGGCCATTTAGTGGTTTTCAAAGTGACAGATTTAAGTGTTGATGATATACTAGTAACACAATCATATTGAGATGTGTCCTGGTCTGAATACACTCACTGGGTATCGATTGTGGTTTTTCAAATTTTCAAAGAGACATTATTGAGGTTGAGGAGTAAAGGCCAAGTTGAGTTTTGCAAAAAATATAATGATTTGGAGGTTTTTGAATGTTTGATTAATGTTTGAGCAAGTATAAGTTGCCAAACTTGAAACATTAAATTAAAAGCTTGTCTTGTGTTACATCGATGGTTCATCAATACAAAAGTGACAAATAAACTGGAAAAGGAGTTGATTAATAACAAAGTTTTCTTGAGAGAAACATAAGTATTGAATAAAAATAACATGCTCCAAAAAGTAATAATCTTTAAGATTGCGAACTTTAGGCTGAATAAAGTTCTACAAAGGAGATCTGAGTGAGGATTTAATGAACATTTCTATACAATACATGACAATAAATAACAATATTAGTGCCCCAAGGTTTAAGTAAATGCGCTTTCTCATATCTAATAGTTTCACTGGATGTTTTAAGGAGGACAAGCTTTAATTGTTCTTATTTGCTTGTACCCACTTTCCATGAGATAATCTGATTTGAACAACTTCAAAGAACTATGACATAACCCGGGAATGTTAGCGTAGTTTGATATGTCCTTGTAATTTTTGAATTTCTCAACTTCAAAGACGAGACATAATTTTATGTTGTACGACTGTTTTATTCCAATGTCTGTATTTGATTGACTGAAAAATGATTAAAAAAAAAACAAGGGCATTGCAAATATGTAGCTTAAGGTCATGAAGTAAGCTTCAGAGATGAATGAAATAAGCATTGTTCATTATATGTTGTCCGTCTCTCTTGAATCTCGATTCATCATGTAAAAAGCGTCCAGGGTCAATGTTTTACGAGAAAACATCACATATCAAAATATACTCTTGCATTTTTAAAAATTCTTTTCGGTGGTCAAATTGTGATTTTTATGCAAGGAAGAATTTAGTTATACGTATAATGTTTTGTAAGTTTATACCATGTATACAACTGTAATTATCAAGCTTGCGATATTTGATTTTGAAACTGAAAGTGTTCAGTTTAAGTATTTAGCTTACTTCTTTTTGTGTGTAGTACTAAGGGGCGATGTTTAACTCCAAGACTGTGAGCCCTCTTTGACATTGTTTTTGATATCCCTTTGTTTGCTTTCAGTACTTATAGATTTGGTGGACATGGATGGTCAAGTAAAGAATTTGTCTGCACGAACCAAAGAATACGCAAGTGAAGTTGTTAACGGCAGGGAAACATATGTATTAATACGCGTAGAAAGTGAGTACTTTTCACAAAGAGTTGTTCACCTAACAGGAATCTTGAATAATTCTTGTAAGAAAATATGTGTATGGCCATCATAATTTGTATTTAATATAAAGAGAGCCGAGGTACCTATACTGGATACTGTCGAGGTAAAATAAAAATTAATCTGTAAAGAAAGTGAAAACTGTATAAAATTTGTCGGCCAGCTTCGACAAAGAAAAAAATCCTTGGTATAAAGGCATATAAAAATTGCAATGAACATGTACCTACAAACCCCTTTTTAAAAATAAAATTCTTACGAAAATGTTTTAAATCATTTTAATTTTAAAGTCTTGGAACAGATGCGATCTGTTGATGGCGTTTTAAAGACACCGAAAATATCTTTAGTTCACGAAAAAGCCATGTGTTTAAAACCTTGAATCTGTTTAACCTGTTCCACAAAGAAAACCTAAAATTAGAAACCTGCTTTGCAGTTTTCCCTTTAATCGAATTAAGTAGTTCATTAACAGTGCGGAGGACAATTAAATGCATTAAATGGCCATGAATCGGGAATTAAAAGACGTCACGTAAGGTGGAAGAACTCGATTACCGTTTATTATATGTAGCATTTATCCTTAAAAATTCACCTTATCTTGTAAGAAGAGCTTACAGAAGCATGATAATGGAACAAGTGAATAAATCAGAGGAATACCAACGCGAAGTCCCCATGGATATTCCATTTCTATTCGGTTTCAATTATTACGACCACCCGATAATTAAATAGCAATCTGGATGATTTCTACCCTTATCAGGTTCATTTGTTCAGAATGCTAACAATCGACTGGCTTTTTGATTTATCAAAGTTGACCAATGATTATCTCGTTAATCTGACTGTTTCCTTGGTAAACAAAAGACAATCAGACCTACTCGGCTGTCTCCTCGTTAGTGATCTATAAAATCGCAGCTGTGAATTTTGTTCTGTTAAGTGCATCTAAAAGGAAACCTGATAAAATGCGATAAAACCCAAGCTCATTTTATCTTGCAAATTTATTCGTATTTTATAAACTAAATATTGTATTGTACAGAACAATGTAAAATTTCCTTATAATCAAACTTAAGGTACATCGATACTGTTTTAAGAGAGATAACTCTTAATGACATAAATGTCTATTTTTCCTTTATAAATTTGTCAAGTTGAAATGTCTTTTTGAACCAGTTTTGCCCCGCAAGCATTGCTTTAATTGTTTGCATTTTACTAAGCATATTCATTTCCTTTGGAAAATCATATGAGTTAAAGATACATTTTATATGAGTGAGTGGAGGGTTTATGCACCTTAAAGAATTTTCTTGCCCTGAAATAGTAAATTCCTTTAAAAAGAATAAAAGATTAAGCAAGAATTTATATTAAGAATGCTGGTAATCTTATGTCTTTTTTTTCCCTCAGAGATTGGTGATGGAAAATACAACTATACCTCGCTCCTGAATAATCTTGGGGATGTCAACCCAGACCTATTCGGTAGGTATCCTATATAAAGCACATAGGACTTAATGGGTTATTTAAGGTAAGTCACTCCTGAAATTTCTTATATCAAGGATTTTTTGAGAAGTATATTTTGGATAAGTACTCATAAAGTGTAACTCAAAATCGCAATGAAAATAGGGGGTCAGTGTGCATCCTACTGATCTACGGTACACTTAAGTTGACCTTTTTGCACTTAAATTTCATCTCTTTGGTTAATTACTTTAACCCTTATTATATTTGATTAGATGTACGCATGGCAATAAATGTAATCTTATTTTACGTAAAATAGTTTGAATAATATTTATCATTAAACAAATCTTGCAAATTAATGCGCGTAAATTATTGAGTGACCTTTTTGCACTAAAAAAATAACATATCTGGGGTCTTGAAAAATTTAATAGGCAATAAAAAATTTTCTTATATCAAACTTTTTACGACTTGAGTGCTGATCAATCACAAGTATCGAGTAGTTTAAAATAATGAAAGAAAAAGGTGGGGTCAGTGATGCTAATTTTGAAATATTTGTCAAAATATGTGATTTTCAGGCAAAAAATGGTGTAAATTTGACCTTGACTTCTTTAATATATTTTTATTTTTTGGAAAAGTTTGTTGAGGGAAGGTATAAAACTTAGTCTAAAAATATAAATTAAGACCTATATTAAATATTTTTAGCAATATCAAAACGGAAAATATTCTCCGAGTAAAAGTATGTGAGGCTAAATTTCCATTACATTAAATTTTATAAATGTGCAGATTTGCAGAATTTTCTGCTAAATATCCTTCCACCAAAAGAAATAGTCCCTCATAGATCTTGCTTTTTTGTAGATTTTTGAGCAGTTTTTTTCATTGAATGTTAAAAAATTTACATTGTTGAATTCAAATATGTTATAAAAATTGAATTTTAATAAGTAGTTTTGAAGTAAAAGCTTCTGCGTGAACTTTTCTAAAAAGCTGACGAGTGACTTACCTTAATACTAAAAAAAATGTTTCGTTGATGGGATGTACAGCTCTACTGCCATCAGAGTCGAGTATCAAGTAAAGAGTCGTTTTTGATTCTTTAATATTCATTAGAAATAATTTTAAGGCACAGGAATAGATGTTGAAATTTAATATACATGTAAATGTAATGTAGAGTGATAATATTATGATAGCACATAATTTACCTGTAGTTTTGGTGATTAGCATAATTTACCTGTAGTTTTGGTGATTAGTTTAGATATCGAATTCGTTCTGTAATTTAAGAAAAATTGCGAAATCTATCATCTAGTCTGAAGGGCAAGAAAATGAATTACAATGAATTACATGTGATTGCATTTTTTGGTTAGATAGGTGGTAAAATAGTCCGTATAGGTTACACTTAGTAATATTACAAATGAAATTGAGTATCTGAGCCTGAAAAAAATAAGGATACATGAAACATTCATTGAGATAGCAAATAGATCTTTTTGCTGAGCATATGGACAGATACATTTACCTTAGTTTCGGGTCATCATAGCATTAGATTTCTGCATCCGTCTCCTTTCAGTTATAGAGTAAATAGGAAAATGAATGATACGCTTTAAGAGCCGTTCTCTGTAAAGACTTGAAATTTTATATAGGAGCTGTGGCACGCCTAGTCTCAGAATTTCTCCAAACTCTCTATGATAAAAGTCATTGATACCCTAAACTGAAATCAGGCAAAAATTGGTTGCTATGTTTTATAGTTACCATGGCAACATGTCTTAAAGTTCGAAAAATGGCATTTTTTAACATGTTTAGGGCCCCATAGTTAACATTTGCGGCAAAGCAAACAATTGGCAATGACTGTTTCCGAAAGTTGAAGGTCAGATGTCTCAAATGCATGATAAACATGTCTGGTAAATCAACTATTACATACGTTACTATGGTAACAGTATTCAAAAGTAAAAAAAAAATATTCATTGAATTTTATAAAGTCATACACGTAAAAATAAAAAGCAATTATAGGATGAAATGTGACCAAATAATAGAAAAAAGAGCCTTGAAACATATATCAAGAACAAAATATGATGTTTCAATTTGGTTGGCAATGGTTGCAAAGGTTTTTATACCACATAGAGCCTTCAAAATAACGCTCTGTATGTTTAAATATGATCCTTTCTTTTAAAAAAGCACATTTCCTCATAACTAATGATCAATTTTTAAAGATGTTGGTGTGCTCCTAGTTTTCCCATTTGAAAAAATTCAGATTAGTTTCTTCAGATAGAGCGTTGCTATGGAAATAAGCAGAAAATATATGCTTAAAAACCTGAAAAATATTTTCTTTCCTTGGATACGTACCCTTAAATGTAGATTCCCAAAACTTTTATGAATGATATTTATTAACAGCTAACCTGACTTTTAATTTTGACTATCATCCCATCTCTAAGTGGATGCAAGAAGTTGGCACACAGGGTTTAATATTGATATAAAGTTCACAAAATCGAACATTTTCCCTTCTTGGTAACCATAGCAAAAGTGTTGTTTTCTTCATCAAATTTTATCAATATATGATATTCAACTTCGGTTCTAACAGATAAGTACTATTCAAGCTGAGTCCTTTAATTTGTTTCTTGATTATATGGCAATTTAATTCTTAATGCAGCGAAAAATAATTCACTTTTAAGCACTGGTACTTTGTTTCCATGGTAACACTGCAAAGTAGCAATTATACCCAATTTTTTTTATGGTTTTGGTGTTGCAAGGTCCTAAGGATGCATATTTGCCAATCTTGAATTTTCATGTTTTTCCTCAAGACAGTAGCATTAACCCAATCTTAGTTACTGGTTTTGCATGGTTACACTGTGTTACCATGGCAACCATAAAAGTTATTTAAAGAATAATATTGCTTATACTAATATACTTAAGGTCAAACATTTTCATTGTTTTTCTTAAGTCGTTGATTGAGTTTGAGCATGTAACACCTACCATTAGTGAATACGGAGTGTTTTTCAGCATATTTCAGCATTGTAAATGTATTTCAAATGTACCCTTGGTTACCACTTACTTAGAGATATATTCTAAACCGTTTCTTTACAGTATAAGTGACATCAAGGTGTCATGTTTTTGTGAGAATGGTTTGTTTGCTTTTTCTAGTTTTTATTAAGCCACAGCCGAGATTTAAAGTGGCTGAAAATCTCGATTTTTCAAACTTTTCCGGCTGTTGCCATAGCAACCGAGATACTTAGCAACGAAATTTTGTTTGATATTTGTTTCTGGTGTCAAGTACTAAGCATGGGTGAAGTTTCATAAAAATCGGTGACCATGCGTGGCAACGAAGTTTAAGTGATTACAGAGAATGGCTATTAAAATTTGTATTTACATAAATTTTAATGTATACATACATGCACACATGGATACGTCATTTGACTCAATGATATATATCTCAGTTGATTCGATACGCAAAAGCATGTTATACGCATGGACAATTTCTACAACGAGGTAAATTATTGACAAACAAGTTGATGAAACAGGAATATCAAAAGTCTCGCTTTAAGGGCTTAAGGCATATTTCATAAGTTCTATGGTAGATACAATGACCTTGTCAGCAAATACAATTTATCATCGAGTCAAATACTGACTGAAATTTTTCATAGTAGTTGTTAGTCCATTATTTATAAACTGAATTGACGACGGATTTTTTCTGATCATCATGACAATGAGCACACGGCGGGTGGGACTGGTCGGCAGGGGATGCTCACTCCTCCATGGCACCTGATCCCACCTCTGATGTTTCGGAGGTCCGTGTTGGCTCTGCTCCTATTTTGTATTGTTTTGTGGATTTTGATACTGAATACTGTTTATTTTCTCAATATCTTTCATTCGATAAAATTGCAAAAAGTGGGTCAAACTCCAATGTTTTTGCGGAAAAACTCCAGAATAACAGATAAACATACGGCAGATATACAGACGGGCAGGGCAAAAACTTTATCCTAGTACCTCAAGTCTTAAAATTCTGGAGCATAAATACACTGTAGTTATCAATTCTAAGGTCTTTTATTTATTTAGAGCGTTGGTCTGGAGCTAGATTTACCAATTTACATGTATATGTAGTAGCCATATTGTTAGCATAATCATGAATTGCAATTACCTATAAGTATTTTATTTTTACAATTCATTTCCCCCAGAATGTTTGACCTTTCTTAGTGATAGTGCATAAAGAATAGTTTAAGTTTAAAGCATTACCGATCATGCATATACATTGGCAGAAAACTGAAGTCATGAAATCCTAACGTAGTCATATTCCAGATCAGAATTTCTTTTTAAAGATTGATAAAATACTATACGACTGGAAAAGATTACAAACTGTGTCTCAGTAGACGTAACCAAGCTTTGATGCCTGTGTGATAATATATATCAGATGTGATCTTAAACCAATGAGGGGGAACGTCTTTTTAAGTGTATTTTAATGTGATCTTTGATACTCCTAGATACTGATATCTGGAGTAAAGATAGATCAGGGCATATGCACTTTACTTTGATATCTATGAGAAATCTGTAAGTAAACAGGATGTACATTTTTATCACCATATTTTTATAAAAGAAACGCAATAAACTGATAAACAAAGATTTACTTTAGTTGTTTTATCATATCCTGTTTTAATGTGATTATAATGATAGCGACTGTGAATGTAAGTGTACCCTTGAGAGGTCAATTATAATTTGTTAAATTGCAAATTTGTAACAGGAACGGATTTTTAAAAAACGGAATTTATGTAACTGGACTTTAAAAAATAATAAAACAAAATCAGGAAAGAGAATTTTATCTTTCCAGATTAAGGTCACCTTTGCGGAGGAGGATCGAAAGAATTACAGACTTTTTTTTCGGAAGAAATAGAAAATTATATACTTTTCAATAACTTGTATGAAATACCAGGTGTATGAAGATATTTAGTACAGTTATCATCATATATAAGTATAAATTTCCACTGTAAGCGACTTTACTAAATCAGATGATTTGTTTAATTTCAGGAAAATTAAGTGTAATGTCAAGACCACAAACCAGGGTAAAAGGAAAGAAAAACAACAAACCTCTAAAGACACCAAAGAGTACCCGCAACGAGTCCGCCACCAAAAGACCAAAAAGTAGTGAAAAGAAAAAATAAACTAGCGCACAGAGACGGGAAAAACATTAGGAAACATTGATCAAAATCCAACATTAAGGAGGCTTTCTCGTTGTAGACAATGATCCAGACCTTCCTTAAGATGTAAATGTTAATAGGGTACATAATGTATATCATTATTTTATACTTTCCATGTCTATACATTTGCACTTTGTATATGTATTTTATCCTGGTGTATGGGGTAACTATTGGCAAATTATTGGGAAGGAAAACGCATTTCCAATAATTGTTTTTATTAGAGATACAGGGTTTCGTATGTATTAAAAATATTCATCGCATTGTTTAATAGCCAAATTATTTCTGATTTTCAGTAATTTTACAAATACTTGTTGTTTAAGACTTATTTATATGTGTTATAGAATGTGTTATAGAAATAAAGACAGAAAAACAACAATTTTTCTAAGCCTTGTCTGTGTGAAATTGTCTAAACGTAAATTGTCATACCGGTTTCAACATGTAAGGTTGTTAGTTCCCAAGTTTCTGAAATCGGCCATAAAAAATTTTGAAAGTATTACTTCACCAAGAAATGTGTATTTTTCCACGTAATGTCCTCAGAACTCATCATTGAAATTAATCAAATTATTTATTATACTCTTATGTATGTTTTAGAAACATAAATAAAATCATAAATCATACATTTTCTAATTGAAAACTGATTAACAAGATTAGTATGTTCGAAGAATAATAGTATCGATATCTATGAATTCAGGCAAAAAACTGAATATTTTTCATATTTACACGGAACATAACATCATCTTTTTAAAACTCGTTTGTTTCACACAGTGCAAAAAGCACGTGAAATCATTGCAAAGTATTACAGATAACTTTAATTAAATTCCAATTCTTGCCATTTTGCTAATGCAAGATTAAAGAAATTCCATTTTTCTCAAAATCTATGTATTTTGCACTTTGAGTGATTTTCATATTTGTTCCCAAAACTTCAAATCTCTTTAAATAATATTAACATTCATTAAATGATTGTTTCTGCACAAACGAATTCTTTATGAAGCTTTACTTTTAGCCTAATAATATTTCATATAAATGTCCGAAGCTGAGGAGCAAACATCAGTAAAAGAAAACTCGCCGAAATATTGCTAGAAAATGTTATATGACTAATTGAGGGACATCAGAGGTAAGACATTGAAAATTTTTTCATGTAGAATTGTGTCCTAAGTCTAGTAAAAGCAAATATTTCTATGACAATACAAACATTTAAATGTTACCGTTGGGTTCCCACTGGTGCATTTTAATTCTAAGCTGACATCATATCTTTTAAAAAAAAACATCAGGTAAGTAAAACCTCTTTAATTAATACATGTAAGTTACTCTATGATTTTGTGATAACGAAAACTTTGATATAGGAACTGTTGACATGCATCATAATTTCTCCAAACTCTCGATAAGAAAAATTCTTTATACCAAGAATAAACTAATGTTAAAGTGTCATGGTTACTCTGGCAACATGCCTTTAAGTTTGAAAAAAAATGGCATATTTGAACATGTGTACAGTCCCATGGTTAATGTTTACTGGAATGAGTCTCTTGTTTCATCAACTTGTTTGAAATAGCATGTCATTTTAGACATTGTTCTTACGTATACTCTTGCTCTCGCATTTCGAATCAACAGGAAGACATATAAACTCCATACACAAGTAATAAGGGTATATAACAACATAAATAAGTGACGTTGACGATAGAAAAGATATCTCCTTTATCACAAGGTTTCTTTGTAAAATTACCGGGTACCATTTTCGACTTTCTTCATATTAAAATATCGGAATATGAAACAGAAGTGACAAACCCTGTTTCCTTTTATTAGCTCACCTGAGCCGATTTCTCAAGCGAGCTTTTCTGATCACATTTTGTCCGGCGTCCGTCTGTCTGTCTGTCTGTAAACTTTTCACATTTTCGACTTCTTCTCAAGAACCGCTAGTCCAATTTCAAGCAAACTTGCCACAAAGCATCCTTGGGTAAAGGGGATTCAAGTTTGTTCTAAAGAAGGGCCACGCTCTCATTCAAGGGGAGATAATTGGGAATTACTGAAAATTTGGTGGCATGTTTTAAAAATCTTCTTCTCAAGAACCACTGTGCCAGGAATTATAACAATTATGGGGAAACATCCTCAGGTAGTGTAGATTCAAGTTTATTCAAATCATGACCCCCGGGGGTAGGGCGGGGCCAAAATGGCCGACCAAAATTTTACATAGAAATATATAGGAAATTCTTTAAAATTCTTCTTCTCAAGAAAAGCAAAGCCATACGGTAATTGATCATATTTATATGGAAGCATCCTCAGGTTGTGTAGATTCAAGTTTGTTCAAATCATGACCCCGGGGGTAGGGCGGGGCCAAATGGCTGATCAAAGTTTTACATAGACATATATAGGAAAATTCTTTTAAAATCATCTTCTCAAGAATAGCAAAGTCATGACTGGTCATGGGATTATATTTGGATTTAAACTTTTCAATAATAAACCAATTTCTACTTTTTCCTAGCCACAGTGCTCAGGTGAGAATGTGGCCCAGGGGCCTCTTGTTTTGAGTTCATAGTGATATTTTGAATCGACATATGAATAAAAATGTATTTATATTGTTGATAAAACGTCGCCGAAATATCTTTTTGTTAAAGGCAACGGCAACAAAAGTTTTTATATTTTCTTACAGAAGTTTTTGAATAAATTCTGCTTCATTTGAATGCAAAATATAGATGGTAAATAACCGGATGCTATTTATACTCATGGAAAATCCACAAGGTTGCTAGAAGACTTGTTCTCCAAAAAAACTACACGTCAATCAAAAGCTCAATCGTATTTTTCATATTAATTTTCGAGTAAAGGTGTAAACAGTCAGTGTTTTTTATATTAAAATTAATACAAATAGCCAAGCAATGCAAGCGGAGTAAAAGAGAGTTTAATTTGATTGAGTAAGCAGCTATCTTTGATGTAAATAAAAATCCTGGTATTATTTTATTATTTTCAGAATTTTTGTGTGGCACGTCTAAAAGTATTATGTTTTGATTTTACAAATTATGATAAAATTTTGTGATTTTCAATTTTCTAAAAGTACAAAGCTGGGCCTTTTCAGTATCCTCTTCTGATTTACAGTTCTAAAATTGCTGTATACTGTACTTCTGAAGTACTCCTGGAGTTTTTTGTTTAGTGCTGTCAATATTTTAGTGAGAAGTAAAGAAAAATGCTGGTTAAAGCATTTACTGGAACCACCAATCCTTGTTTGTAAGGATTTCGATCGATCTTAAGGGGGCCGACTATAGTTTTATTGTGTGAAAACTACAATAGCGAAACTCTTCATTTTATACCATATATACTTTACATTATCTTCAGTGTACAAGCAAAGTTCGGGGGAAATCTACCGACCAGGTATAATTGAGGGACCGTCTCAAAATTCAGGTACATTTACTATAGGATTATATAGAAAAATGCCAATTTTTAGCACTTTAAAGCAAATTATAAAAATACTATAAAATAGACATTTTGTTCAAACTATAATATTTGATGAGTAATACTATATTATAGAATATATATAAGAAACACAAAATTCTACCGTCTGGTTACCAGAGGGGGCATCTCAAAATGCAAAAAATAAGCAAATTTTACTATTTTTATAGAGTATTACAAATTATGACGTACACAATGGATTTACATGAAAACATAATAAAAATATTGGAGATATTCTTAAATTTCTATGTTTCAAATTTGAAGAGCGCATGTTTATTACCTTTTTTTAATAATATTTTTATTACCCCTTTCTTTAAGAGCTAGATTACAGATTATCATAACGTCAAAAACACACTGCAACGACGTCAACCTACCTATCAAATGCAAAATCGGTTAAAAAATCAGTTATCAAAAACCTATGTATATAATAAACAAATGCTACACGGCCAGGAACACGTTAAGTTCCAAGACAGTACCGTTGTCAGAAACATTTAAAGTTAAGCACTAAAAATGGCTCGTTGTCATGAAAATACAGGTAAGATTATGACAAAAACTGTCCGGTGTCATTACTTTAGAAGACATGTCGTGAGCAGTTTTTCATTTTTTTAGTTAAATAATTTCAACCAATGTCTGAAATTGCAATGGGGAAGAGGACTGACACCCCTTTTGGTGTTGTATGAATTTCAGCCGTTAAAATGAAGTAATAAAAGAGGAGTTTGCGTTGGCAATCAAATGCCCATGTGTGAAGTCATGATCGTCAGCCTGAAAATTTAATATTTATTACGTAAAATTTATCAAAATTGTCCTTTTATTTTGAAATATGAAGAAAAACTTAATTTTACATGTGTTAGGCAACTGACAGCCTATTCTTAATAGCAGGCTTTAAGAAATCGCAATTTAAAAGCAAAATGTCCGTTGTCAGTACATGTTAAGTTTTTCTGGTCCGGTGTCTTTTTCTTAACATATAAGTTTATCAATAAAACAGTCTGACTAAAGCTAGTCCCTATTTCGCTTTGTTAGAAGTGAAAGAGTAAGGGCTGGTTTTAGTCAGACTGATCAATAAATACGTATATAACAAAAATTATCAAATGTATATGTGCTCTTAAGAAAGAGAAAGCATATTACAGAAAATTTTGAATCTGTTGGGGGGTCGTCTTAGGAGTAGTCTATATACCCGAACGTGCTTACCATTCTCTGATGTTTTTTAATCTATAGAGTGCAAACGTAAATCAATTCCTGAAATATTATCAGTAAAACAAAAATAAAATATTGGATCTTCACGAACTTTAAAATAGAGAAATTTTTAATACGTATTAAATTATTGACAAACAAGTTGCAGAAACAAGAATATCAAAAGTCTTGTTTTAGAAAGTCATAATTTCAAAAGTTCCTTGGTCGAAGCAATGATCTTGTCAGCAAATACAATTTACCATGGAGTCAAATGCTGACTGACGTTTTTAATAGTAATTATTAGGCCATTTTTTACACATTGACGAATTTTTCCCAGTACATTTCCCGATCAAGACAAGGAGAACATAGTAGGTGTAAACGGTAGACAGAGGATGTTCACTCCTA